GGGAAGAGGCTCCAGGGAGATCTTCGAGCAACCTTCAAGTACCTAAAGGGGACTGCAAGAGAACTGGAGAGGGACAGTGTACAAGGGCATGTAGGGACAGAACAAGGTGGAATGGCTTCAAATAGAAAGAGAACAAGTTCAGCTATTACAAAGAATTTCTTTGCTGTGAGGGTACTGAGGCACTGGAACAGGTTGCCCAGCAAAGCTATGGATGGCCCATCCCTGGAAGTGTTCAAGGCCAGGCTGGATGGAGCTCTGAGCAACCTGCTCTAGTGGAAGGTGTCCTGTCCCTGCTTATGGCAGGTGGCTGGAACTAGATGGTCCTTGGGGTCCCTTCCAAAACAAACCACTCCATGACTGTATCTCAAAACCACAAAACAAATTCTTCAATTATGCCAGACAGTAACACACCATCTTAAAGAAATAGGTGTCAACAGAAGACAGAGGAACTAGAAACTGTTTAGCCTAATTCCAATTTACAGGAAAAAAAAACACTTAGTTGGATACAACTATCTACTTACAAAATAAAATAGTAAGAACTAATAAATATGGTCATGTAAAAAAAATTGAAAACAATCAAGTCAAACTAAGCTTTGTTAACTGGATAGGCTTGTTCAGAGGCCAGTAGGCATCTTAACATTCGACATTTCCACTATATTCTAAAAACTCCTACAGAAACATAAGAGCAAACTAATAAGAGCAAACTGTGGGCAGTTTAGTCTGTGCTCACACAACTATCTAATTTTGAGGCAGGCAGCAAGGATCCTTCCTTTGAAGGTAGTGTATTCTCATAAAACTCACAGGTATCACAACACTGCAAGTCACAGGAAAGGATAAAAATTAACAAAGCTTGAAACTGGAGAGGGGGTCTGAATGCAAAGGATATAATTCAGTTTAAACAAAAGCAAGAACTACACTCACATACATATTTGATGAACTGCATGAACCTGAAAAGGGGAGCAACTCAATTAGCAGAAACTGCTGCTAGAGCAGATCACAAACTGCTCTGAAAAAGGAAGAAATAGACATAAGAGCAATAATTTGCAAGACACTTGCAGCAATCTTCTCAGTCTTTGACATCAATACACCAGGCAGACACTGTCAATTTTTAGTATCATATATTAAGAAAAAAATAGGGACAACTGAATTGAACATAAGGGGAGATCACTAAAACTAATAAGGGTATATAACATGCAATCACAGACTGAAATAAAGTCGAATTACTTGATCTAGCAAGAGGGAAAAAAGAAGCTATTAAGCAATTTTCAAATCTAGAGAAAGCTGAATGAAAAGGATAAACTGTTTGCCTTCTCCACTAAAGATCAGAATAAAAGGATAAGAGGTCAAACAAGGAAAAAATTATTTTACCAAGGATTTCTTTGGAAAGCGTGGAATTACCTTGAGATCTCCCACAAACACATCAGACAAGGACTTGTCAAATACTGCTTTAAACAGTCCATCTTGTTTGGCAGCAGAAGAATTGTCTGGTGCTGTGCAGCATTTTACTTCATCTGTACTAAGAAGATGCCTCTGATGCAAGACAGTAAAATCAATGCACTAAGCATTGTTAAACATCAACTGTGAGCTTTGGGGTTTCAGCACAGCAATAATAACTTATACTTGCCCAGCCCAAGGAAAAAAATAAAAAGTTCAAAATATTAACATTTGTCTCAACAGCACTAAATAGCTTAAGTGAAGTGATGTAAGCTGCAAGTAGGTGGCAAAAGCTGATTATTTACGTTCTTTAAAATCCTCATAAGAACCTGATGAGATCCATGGCTATCAGGTAACTGATGCAGCTGTTGCCATCTACACAAATCAGAACCCAGGAAAGATGGAGCTACAAGACAATTTTTCACCACCTGAAGGACTAACTTAGTGGCTACAAGGATATCCAGACTAACTTCGTTTTGCCCAGTTACAGAAACTATCTGACTAAGCCTTGCAGTCAGTTCAGAAAGAGCTGTTACACTAATGCAAAAAAATTTTAAGGAGTACTTAGGCATAGGCCCAAGCTGGATGATGAAAAACTCCCCAGTTTTTCTCCCTGCAAAATGTAAAAGCTAATTCTCATTAGAAAGAGCCAGTTTCAAATTCCTCTCTCGTGCATCTGCTGTAAATATTCTCACAAATCTGTGTTCCTTATCTTCTAACACGTAAAATTACATTACTCTTATCTGACACAGCTGTATTGGGAAGCAAGCTGAAAGGAGTTCGTTTTCAACTCTACAGTTGTGAAAACGAAGTAATTACTTGAGAGATGCAGACTTTCCAGGTAAATTTAGGAGGACTCCAATTTGACCTGAGCAACAGAATTTACTGTGCAATCTGACTCTTGTCACGGAACTTGATGACTTAGAAATATGCATTACTTAAAACCAAAAAATCACAAACACACATCTGTCACAAAACAGGCAGTGGAAGATTGAGTAGTAACAAAAGGATCAACTTGAAAAACAAAAATTGATACAACACTCTATAACACTTTCCATTTCAGGCTTAGCTCAACCTTCATTCTCCTTTTTATAATACTTTTCTTGATCTTTTTAAATACTTACATTTGCCAGGTTAATTACATGAGCTACATGAGCTCTGAGAAACCACCAAAGAACCTATTGTACCAAAGTGAGCTTCATTTCAGTGTTTTAATTAAAATTAGCAAAGGAATACCTAAGTTTCTTAAAGCAGATGAAGTTCAAGATACATACTCAAAGAACACTTGATAAAAATCAATTTCCTACTTAGACCTCAGAAAATAAATCCTTCCTCAACTAAGGCTGTACAACAGCTACTAGACATTGCTCAGGCTGCCCAGGACAAGGAACACCACAGCACAAAGCTAGGGAAATACAGGAACAGAAAACCAAATACATTTAAAGTTTCATCAAAATATACTGCAACAAGATATTAGAATCCCTTTAAAAGATTCACAAAGAACTTAGTGAGACAGGATAATGTTCTCAATCTGCACAAAATGTCAAAAAGGAGGATACAAAGCTAACAAAACATTTTAACTGTAGCAGACCACATTTAAAAAAAAAAAAAAAACAAAATAAACAGCCAAAATAAAACAGAAACATGAAAACCATAAGGAAAATTAGAATCAATAACTAGGCAACCAAGATATTGACTTAAATATTCCAGGAAACAAGAATGCTGCACAGAAGACAACTGAAGTCTGATGTGTGCATGTGCACGTTATTTATACACCCTCTACCCCTTAGTTAGCAAAAATACAAGGAGCCAAGCATTTTCTGTCAAGAAACCAAACTGAGAAGGAATAAAATGCCATGAAAACTAAGGAAAAAAAATGAGGGAACACAAAGGAAAAGAAGACACCAGAACTAAACCTCCAGCCAAGTAAAATACAGCTCAGACCGTGGAGCTGACCAGTTGAATGCTGTAATAATACAGTTCAGCTTCTTTCATTAGCACAGACTCTCTCTGTTCCTCCTTCACTTACACAAAAATGGGGAATTATGATCTCAACCCAAAAGAACACAGGACTGGTTTAACTACAGATGCTGATGTTACCATTGTAATAACAACTTAATCTATCCTTCTAGTAAAATAATTCTATTGTAATTCACAACAATAAAATTTGGCCTTTTCTTAACTATTTCTTTAGGGCAGACACTAGCACACAGCTATGTCTGTGTTAATGCTACCCAAGAGAACCAGCTGGATTTAAGGAACATACTTACAAGGACAGATCCAGCTTTTCTTATATAAAATGGCCAAAGAGAAGCTCTGGAGAGCTGCCCATCATATGTTCCGTGATTTTTATTATTAGTGATTCAGTTTACATACACAGGAAAACAGTGACTGTATTTCACAGAATATTAATATTCCATAGCAGTAGGTATTTTCTCAGCCAGCACTGCTAATGTTCTCTTGCAGCAACGTTTTAGTTCTGCATATCCTTGTGGATAACACACACCTGAAATTTGCCAATACATGCAAGTGTTCTATGCAAATGTTTATGCAGCCACAGGGGAAAAAAGTCATGTTTCTAATGAGAAATATGACAGTGTAACTTACACTTGAACTCTTTCTAATCATCTCCAAAGTGAAGATTAAATAGTTTAAAGCTGATCCATACAACATCTATGTTCACAAATATAGGAGTTAAAAGGGTAATTGTGAGATAAAGTTGATAGAAATAACAGGATTGAGTTTCTGCACAAATTGTTTCATAGTCCCTGTAGGGGCTTTTTGCAATAACCTCATCATCAAAGTGAAAATCAGACAGATTTTTTTCCTGAAAACCAGTGCTATAATTTATTTCTGTACAACAGAAATGTATTTTCAACAGCCAGTTAATAAACAGCAGAGGTAATGTTTAATCAGCACCTGTTGTTTAGAGAGTATACTGTAATTTCTCTCAAAAAATTTTAAATAAAATATTCGAAATCTGCCAGTCATTCTACTGTTTAATTTAAGAGCTTTCCAGAGAATCCAGCCAAGTGAGGAGAAATGCAAAGGGATAAGGACCAAATCCACAGCCACATTAACCCCCAAGCTCTTCTTTGAGGATGGATTTAGAAAACCTAAACTACAAATGGAGCTAATTTAACTGTGCCCTATTCAGATTTCATGTGTACCACTGTATTAAAGCATTTCAGTTTTATGACAAAGTTCATACAGACATACTACTGTTCAGACACCCAGAAAGCCATAGCTAAACCATTTTAACCCTCCAAAACTCATGATTAATCTTCAGCTACAGAAACAAATCCAAAGAAACCTACACACACAAGCATGCAAACACTTGCCCTCCCACCAAAAATCCAATCTCATGTCTCAGTTAACAATTTTATGTCTCCGTCTCATCTTCAATAATGCAGAACTGACTTATTAAAGAAATCCCTTGTTTCTAGTCTTCTGTGTCATCCACATAGCAGAGCTAATAGCAACTATTCTAAAAAAAAAAAAGAAACCCTTCACAGTTGTTTGAAACCATTATATGACTTTAGAAAGTAAAATGCATAACCTCTTACCTGAGCATGAAAATTTGACATAGTCGTTGTCTCTATATCTTTCTTTCCCAAAATCTCCATTTTCACTGGTGAATTGGGAAAATTAAACGAAAAGTAGTCTAAAAAGTCAGGTAAATAAGTAGCTGCCCCATGAACAATACCCATTACATAGTAAGCTGCACAGTTTTCATTTTCACTAAAAACCAGACCCACAAACTCTTCTGCAAATCTCTCCATCTCCACAGGAGACAAGTGGGAGAGTTCATTACTGTAGGCATGGATAACTGATGCACCTCCGTTAGGCTGGTGCTCAATATGAATCAGCTGTTTGAACTCCAATGTGTCCAACCTTTTGAGTTTATTTTGAACCCGTGGCTCCTTTAACGAGACAAATGGAAACTCACTGTTCTCTGGTATCTTGGACTCACAGTCCTTCTTGGGATCCATATTTTTCCCATTGAAATCCTTAAGATGATCATCTATGATGCCTTTGGCTTCCTGATCCTCAATATCAGAAACCAATCCTGAGCAGATGGTCTGAATAGATTTGCTGTACATTTTTGGACGCTTCCTCTTCTCATTCTCTTTATGTTTCTTTTTCTTTTTCTTCTTAACTTTTTTAATCTGTAGCTCTTCTGCATTGGTTTTTGGTTTCTCCTTCCCACCTGTTGAGAGTTTAAAAAAAAAATCTCTTAAGGAAATTTTTATACAAAATATATATTTAAAGATTGGGATTCAAAGTCACCAAAACCCTCACCATGGCACACAAAGACCAGAGACCAAAAGCAAGGGTCACAATGTATATGTTACCAAAAGTGAGGAGGGTAAGAGACACCTGCCACGGTCACATTGCATCTGATAAATAAGCTGAGACAACAAGGGAAAGACATCACAATAACCCAAGTTTCGTCATGAGCTGCAGTTCATCATTCCCTTGAGCTAGTCATTAGCAGCTGCTGTCCCATGAAGTCCAGAGACATCACAGCACAGCTGTCCAACACTGCCAAAAAAAGGGGCCTACAAACCATCCGTGGATATGAACAGCAGCAAGCTGCCCACGAGATGCCACTGCCAGCACTGACCTTGTCTGATGGGCTTCTTCACATCTTTCACACTCTTTCACAACTAGATAAACTTTGCTGAAGAACATGTGGGAACATCTAAAAACTCATCCCATACATATTATAACATGAATAAAATTAAAAGACACATTAAAGAAAAAGCTCACAAAAAAGAAACTAGCTTCACATAATACACAAGCTGAAGTGAAAACAAACTGTCCTACATGTCCAAAATGTCCTAAAGGCAGAAATTACTCATCTGGGGATAGCACATTCAAGTGACTCCCAAGGTAAATGTTCTCACTTGTTTTAAAGAAGTGAGGGGGTTTTTTTTGCAAGTCATAGAAGTGGTAGCCAAAAAACTTCTAGCAGTACACTGCCCTAAGATCAAGCAGTCAAAATGATTTAGCACATCGTAAAACAAAGTTAGTGGGTATGTTTCAGCACAAATTTATATTCACACCAGCAATTCAAAAGCAACATGTTCAAACAGACAAGCTTTGAGGTTTAGAAATTGTCAGCCAGTCTCTATTACTATGCTGCAGTAGACTATTTTCACCTTGCAATCCTCCACCCAAGAAACTTAACAGAGTCCTTTAAAAAAAAGCAAAGTGAGACCACAAGTGTTGGTACATGGAAACACAAATTCTTGCTGACGATTAAGAGCCTGCACATGGAAGATGCAGACACTGGAACAGAGAAGAAGCAATTGAGACACTTGGGTCTGAGTCTCCTGAGGTTTGTGACAGCACCTAAATACTTCTGGGATCCTTGAAGTGGAGGCAGATTTAGTTATCTCCCTGGATTCTGTTTTCTCACAGGGAGGGGAATGAGAAGTGCCTGAGGTCACTTCATTTCTTGTTTAGCCCAAACAAGGAAACAGATTCTAGGATTTCTTAACCTAATCTACACAGTTAATAACTACAAAGACTCCCTTCACTCAGAATCAGATTTAACACTGCACAGTCTCAGAACACAATTTCTCTTTCAGCTAACTAAGTTCAACTGCCAAAAGGCAGAGTATCTCCATGGAAGTCTGTCCTTTCTTAGGCTAAATTTAATGTAAGCCCAGCATCAAACCTCAGCAACAGGACTGTTATTCAGATGTATTATTCAGATATAATATACAGATATTCATCTGGTAGATGCAATATTCACCACTTCTTTGCTAACATCCTCTGTCACCAGAATCTTTAAATCTAGGGGGCAGGAAAAGACCAGGAAGAGCAGCAACAGATGTTCAACAACTAAGTACCTCAACCTTAGAGCGTCTTGAAAATAGTTCATTCAGGGTGGCAGGGTCCTTGTCTGTAATGTCATTACCTGGAAAAATCAGCTACATTTTGGGATATTGTAATTGTGTCATGGCACCAGCTCCAGTCAGTGGGAAACAAAAACAAAGAAATGGTTTATGACAGTGGGAAGTTACACATTGAAGGCTTTGAAATCTCAATATAAATCTCAAAATACAGACTCAGACATTTTTCCCCTCCTCCTGACTGCAGGAATATACAATTGCAAAGAAGCATCCACAAGTATACAGGTATAGCAAACTCTTAATAATGGTTTAACTTAGCATTTTAAAATTGTTTCACTTTAAATATGAAATTTTTTTGCTATGCTGATAGATATCACAAAGAAGTCAAGCATTCTGCAGATATTATATTAGCTTGAATATACAAACTATGGAACTGTAGCACCAAATGCTGGAGTGAGGTGATGCAGGGGGAAGCAGGAGTTACCTGCCATTTTTTTTTTAATGGAGATCAGATTTTTATTCAAACTATTCACTCAGATCTGAGACATTATGTATGGCAGAAAAGGATGGAAATTTATATTTACTGGGGTTCAATCAGAGTAATATAAATGGCAACAAACTTCAAAGCAAGAAGCTATTTGCTGCAGTAAAAGCCAAATTGCTCTCTCCTACTTGAGCATGTATGTTTTCACCAAAGAAAATCCTAAGACAAATGAAAATCAGCATCTGTATGTTCTTGCTGAACATCCAGCTACTAAATTATATTATACCATTGCTAGCTGAAATGTAAAGTACTTATATAATAGATGGGTATGAATCTGTATTTATGCAAAACAATAAAAACCACTGACTTCCATTCCTAAAGTACAAGAAGGAAGATGATCCGATTTCCCCTTTCAACCTGTCCCATTCCTTTTGATTTTATCTTCTGAGAAGTTTTACTAACAATCAATTTCATTCAACTGCTCCTGTAGTATCTGGTGGCAATTTCTTAAATTCATCACTTGATGTATTTCAAGGATGCAGCTATGCAATAAAATTTTAAAAAACAACCAAACAAACAATTCCACTATTAAACAACAAAGCAGGCTTCCTTAGGGAGGTGGTCAATGCCCTGTGGCAGTCAGTGTTTAAGAGGAATTTGGACAATGCCCTTAACAGCACGGTTTAACTCTTGGTCAGCCCTGAGGTGGTCAGGCAGTTGAACAGTTGATCACTGTAGGCCCTTCCAACTGAAATAGTTGATTTTTTCTAATCATCAGTGACCAGCACTCAAAATAGCACAGCCATGGTCTTGAAAGCAGTGGTGTCTTTAAGACAGAAACAACAAAGATGGAATGTAAATCAGTCTCAAATTACACAAAGTCCATGTGAACATATCCAAAAAGGGTTTGTCTTCAACATGAGTTGTAAAAGTACTTCTTACTGAACTTGGTATACATCTATGGAAGCACTTAAAACCTTAGAAGGAACTACACTAAGACATTTTTTAATGAAGAACATTTATAATTCCCTCTGTTTTCACACCATCTGTATGAAACCTTCAGAAGACATAAAAGTTTTTAACCAGATAAATAATTCTTTTTTGGGTATATAAAAGAAATTTTCCACTCAGCTTTAGATACATTGATTTTAATACAGACTGCTTTTACTTCTGAACACTAGATAAAAAGGTTATGCCATTTACATACATATCAAGTATTACAATTCATCATTGCACACTTTCTCATCACACAAAGCTGCAAAAATGATGCACACAATTTGGAGCAAAATAAATATCTGCCCACAGCCCCTCACTTCAGTGCACAGCTCTCTTCCACTGATTTTTTTTTGATCTCTATATACAAGAAGGATGGAACTGAGATCAGTTTTAATTATGAAACACTTGGAAACCAAGAGAGCGACAATCACTGAAAGAACAAAAGGCTGTATAACAAAAAAAACCACCAGAAGATGTATGATGGAAAGTAGCAGGGCCCCCTGAACTGCTACTTGCAACTGAAAGAGAAAAATAGCAAGTGTCTATCCTTGGGAGACAAAACATCAATCCCGTCTTCAATTGTGAACTACTGATGCCACTGAAGCAGAAAAAGGCCTTAAAACACAGAAATCATAAGATAAGAAGGATTTTAAATGGGCTTTTTTCAAAACATTACTAGAATTAAACACTTGGAAAAAAACATGCATACCAACAAGAGTAAAACTTAGATCTCTAAAACCACTTCAAGCAGGAATTAGGTAACACAACTTCAAAAACTGCTTAGTTGTTTTGAGCCTTTTTAAAATTCACACAACCTTTTCCTACTGCATACACAAATTCTGCTAAAAACTCCATTTCCCCACAAGCAGCAAATGACATACATACAGAAAATTATTTGTATAGATACTTCATATACCCCACATTGCAAAGAAATAAACATTTTAAAATTAAATTTTATATTGGAAGACTGAAAAAATGTGACACTTAATTATTCAGCCTTCTAATGGATATGACACAGCTGAGCAATGTATAAACTCAGTGTCAGATGATCCAATCCCCCACTCTCCTCTGTCACTGCTCCTGGCACACAGCCCTGCAGCACTGCTGCTCATCAACTGCACAGTAACTCAACGGCTCAGCAAAGCTATTCACTCTGCTGCCAGATCAGTGAACTGGTTACAGCACTGTCACACAGGAACTAACGCACACAGGCCACTGAGAGCAGGACACGAGGGGTACCAGCACCCACCCCTCCTCAGGGCAGCAAACCACCAGGTCTGCCCAGCTAGCCTGTCCCCCACACCTTCTCCATCCACCCCAGCACTGAACAAAGCTGAATTTTTACAGGTTAAAAAAGTCCCACCACTTCACCCAACAGTACATTTATAACACAGGATTAATTTCCTAGGAAACCTTAATATAAATTTTTGCAATCTGAATACCTGAACTTTTAAATTTAACAAACTAGTTATAAAATTTACCTTTTAGTTCATTTATCTGTAATAGAGATCAGACTACAATTTCCTCCATCCATCCTCTTACAATGAGTGTGGGTGGTGCATGGTCTCCACACTGCTTTGACACCTGTATACACCCAATTTTAGAATACTTATTTTCAACTATTTTAGTATAATTTCTAGAAGTAAATAGAATCTACTCAGTAAAGCTTGAATAGAATGTGACAGATAGAGAAGGAAGCATGTTTCTAGCCTAAGGTTTCTGCTCTGATGAATTTCAAAGATGCACTCTGAAGTAGATGTTTAAAGCTGCTCAGAAGCTGCAAATACTTAAGAGCAAAAAAAGTTAGCTTGCTGGAATACTGGAACTGCTATCAGCAATGCCCAATAAATACTTTCTTCTTTTTCT